GGTTGTAAATGTTGTAGTTCTGTTCCACAGTGCTTAGGGTGTTGAAGTAGTATGCGATGGGGTGTCTTTTGCCATCCTCTTTGTGTTGCAGCAATACTGCTCCTACTGTGAATCCCAATGTGTCTACCTCCAGTTTGAATTGGTCCTCTAGCTTTGCATGTGCCAGTACTGGTTCATTTATGACTAGGTCTTTGATCTTGTCAAAGGCTTCTTGTTCCGAAAGTCCCCATTCCCATTCAGTGTCATTGCATGTGAGTTTATTTGTTACGATCCAGCCGGATCATTCAGGACAATGTCGGGAAGTCAGTTGTAAGGTGACAGAGAGTTTAGCTCCAGCCCAAGGTCAAGGGTTCGGACTAAGAGTGGGAATGACGATGAGCAAAGGGTTAGCTTTGCTAAGGAAAATGTAAGAGATGAATGGGATGTGCTGTTCACTCAAGGTGAGAGAAACTTGGCTGGGATTTGACAAAGCTGAGACAAGGAAACTACTACAAGACAGTCTAGTCTTTTATACTCATACATACTGTACTCCTATGACTATTTTCTGTATAACTCAAGGGGACGTGTCAGTGCTCAACTGGTGGATGCCAGCACATTGCCTTGCTGTTGACTGCGAGCTCCTTCTGATCCTTCGTCACATGTCACGTGATCGTGACATTATTGAGGGGTCAGGCATGCATGGCAAAATTTTGGATGAAAGCATGATAGAAGTTGCAGAAGCCCAAGAATGATCATACCTGTTTGACATTTTTGGGGGTTGGCCAATCTTTGATGCCCAAAATTTTGATGGGGTCCATGTGAGTCACCCCCTTCTCAATGATTACCCCCAGGTAATTGATGCTCAGGGTGTGGAAGATGCACTTCTCTGGTTTAAGGAAGAGGTGTTGAATTCGTGGGACCTCAACAGCCCAATGGGGAATGGCCCAAATAGGGGATACAGCCCAATGGGGAATATGTGGGTCCACACAAGAAAATGACCAGACTGGGGTTTGAACCCAGGACCTCCCAGATATATACTGGGTGCTCTAAACCACTGAGCTATATGGTCCTAAGTTCAGGGTATTGGTTTCACAATCATATCAACCATGACAGATTGCCTATCCAACACACCCCCCCAATCTGGCATATCTTTAATCCAACGATAGTGCTGCTACCATGTTGAATTCGTGGGACCTCAACAGCCCAATGGGGAATGGCCCAAATAGGGGATACAGCCCAATGGGGAATATGTGGGTCCACACAAGAAAATGACCAGACTGGGGTTTGAACCCAGGACCTCCCGGATATATACTGGGTGCTCTAAACCACTGAGCTATATGGTCCTAAGTTCAGGGTATTGGTTTCACAATCATATCAACCATGACAGATTGCCTATCCAACAAGAGGTCATTTTGTTTGAGTAGATCTAGAATGTCATGTACTGCATCAATGTGCACCTGTTCATTGGAAGCTGTTGTGATGCCTCTGTTGTCCATGTATACCCTGATAACTGTGCCTTTAGTTTTGTGATATTTGATGAGGTCCTTGCAGATTTCGTTCATCATTGTCTGAAAGGTTGCCAGGGAGTTGGTAAGTCTGAAGAACATGACCATTGGCTCAAAGAGTCCATAGCCGGTTTTGAATGCTGCTTTTTCTTCATCTCCCTCTTTGATGTGTACATTGTTATATCCCCATTGGATGTCAAGTTTCGTGAATATAAATGCTCCACTGAGGTCTGATATTAATTTTGGGATGAGTGGGAGAGGGTATTGGTTGCATATGGTCCATTTGTCGATATTCCAGTAGTCCTGTACTGGGAGTAGTTACAGTTGTAACAGATGACATCCTCAGCATTTATAACTCCTCTGCCTTGTGGACATCCTCCTCCTTGAGGGGTGTATGGGGGTTGTGTAAAGTCTATTTCTTTGGAGCCAGCTAGGCAGGCTCTAACCCTTCTGGGAGTGGTGTCCATTGCATTGGGGTGGCTTCGGAACTGCCTCCATCCCTGTTGCTGCAAATGATTCAGGGCTTGGAAGGTTCACAGTGGGGTGTTGCCTTGATTCTTCTGAGGGAGATTGGCCTTTCTTCCTCCCAGTCTGGTATTCAGATGCATCCAATGACATTGCTGCTTGAGTGCTGCTGTTTTCCTCTGGAAATAAGTGTTAGGGTTGTGGAACTGATAGGCATTGTTGTAAAGATCTACTGGCAGGCCACTGGTGAATTTATCAAGTACTAGCGAGTCATTGAAATGATACCCAGCTTCATGTATGGCTTTCTCAAATTTGGCAATATAGGTGTCAATATCCAACCCTTCCATTTTGAAGCCTCTTTGGAGGTCTTGCTAGGCTCATTCCTTTTCAAGGGTGTCTGTGAACATGTTGCAGAATCCAAGTTCTACCACATTCCACGTCCAGTCGTCATATGGTCCATGCTTGGCCTTGTAGCCTTTGAGCCACTTTGTAGTGGACAACACCCATTTGTTAACATGTTCTCCCTGTATGTAGGTGAGGAAGATGAGGGCCTTGTGATAGGGGAGCTTGAAGGCGGCATTGTCTAAGTTGGCTTTGACAAATAGTTCCCATTGAGTAAGGAACTGCTGGACTTTGGTGCAACCACCTGTGAAGATGTTGGGTTCTTTTCCCATAAATTTCTTGGGCTTGGTGCTGATGGATACATTGAATCTGGTAGTAGGAAATCCTCCTCCATTGCCTCCATTTCCTCCATTGTCACCTCCTCCTTCCAGCAGGTTATTTCCAGGAGGTCCTTCACAACTGATGCATGTGGGTTCCTCAAATATTTTTGGCTGCTCAGTGATGGTGGCAGTCATGTTAGTGGGGATTGACTCAGCTAGTAACATGAGTTGAAGTTCCTCTTCTTCTTGGGCTTGGGCAGTGAGGATGGGGATGTCCTCTGGGTTGCTTGCTAAGGATGGGGATGGAGCTGGGGTCTTTGGTGTTGGTGAATGGATGTTCTCTAATGCTGTTTCATCTTCTTGTCTGTCAATAGGTCCCCACTGGTCTCTGGTAGTGACTTTGCTATGGGGAATGTTGAGGTTGAGGGACTTGCTAGTGGGTTTGAAAACTTGGTATTTGCTGGGGAGGTTGTCCCACTGTATCTCTGTCCAACAGAGGTTGTTGAAGTTGAATTCTACTGGGATAAGTGAGGTAGTGTTGTTGCAGTTGGTGTAAGAGACCACATATCCTGGGTTTTCAGCTTCACTTGACCAAAATGCATTGGCAAGGTATTTCTTTGGTACATTGTGTTCTCCTCTTCTTTCAATGTGATAGGGTCTGAAAGGCACCCAAAAGTCTTTTGTCATTCGTATGGAAGTCACGTTGAGGGATCTTGGTCTTAATGTAATGTCTACCATGGACATTAGCCTGACTTAGGCTTCTTGGTGACGTGGGTTCCTGGTCTGGTAGAAGCAGTGGTTAGTGGAGACTGAAGGAAAGACTGAAGGGTGTCAATGGAAGTGGCCTTTGGAGTCTTGATAGGTGTAGAGGTTGATCCCCTCGGGTATGTTGGGAGGTGGTTGGTCAATGGGTTCAAGGTCTGTCCACTCGGCAGAGTTGAGAACGTAGAAGGAGGCGAAGGGGCATTGGGTGCATGGGTTTAGGTAGAGGTATACACAATGCCATATAGTGTCTTTGGGGTAAGTCACTATCTGAGTCACGGAATAGGACATATTAGCCATGGGGATCCCTTGGTCTAAGAGGGATATGCTGGGAATTTACTAAGGGATGCTAAGGCCCTTGCACAGAGGAGAGAGTGTGTGGTAATTTGAAGAAGACCAAGATGCAGATCCTGGCCCTACTACAGAAGGTTTATATACAAAGAGGGAAGCATATTCAAACTCTGTCTGAACTGTGTCCCAGCCAATAGGGTAAGTAGAGCAAACCCTAGTACAACTACTAGTAGGAATCAGTCATCAATCATAATATTGTACATGTAAGGGATCCTAGGACATCAGTCATCAAGGTACAATGGCTGACTGATGCTACAAGTCCATGACACATTACTCCTGACATACTGAGTCATCATGAATACATCAGGGTTCACAACCAGGCCAGGCAGTCCAAGAACAAAACATAACAATCCCCTTGTGAGCTTGCCCAGTTATGGAAGGTGGCAAGGAAATGATGGGCATCTGTAGAGTTGCCTTTCCCATCCCATGCCTTTGCACAGGCCACTATGTCCTTGCCACCAACCTTCCTGGGTTTGGCCTGAGTGGTGGCCACCTGCTGTGTCAGGTCTGAGACCTGTTGTGCTAGGTGGCCCATAGCCAGCCTGAGTTGGTTGATAAGATTGATACATTCTTGGATGGTTGGTGGGGGTGGTGGTATCAGAGGTGCCAGTACCAGATCAGGGTGCACAGTTTGTTGAATTCGTGGGACCTCAACAGCCCAATGGGGAATGGCCCAAATAGGGGATACAGCCCAATGGGGAATATGTGGGTCCACACAAGAAAATGACCAGACTGGGGTTTGAACCCAGGACCTCCCAGATATATATACTGGGTGCTCTAAACCACTGAGCTATATGGTCCTAAGTTCAGGGTATTGGTTTCACAATCATATCAACCATGACAGATTGCCTATCCAACACACCCCCCCAATCTGGCATATCTTTAATCCAACGATAGTGCTGCTACCATGTTGAATTCGTGGGACCTCAACAGCCCAATGGGGAATGGCCCAAATAGGGGATACAGCCCAATGGGGAATATGTGGGTCCACACAAGAAAATGACCAGACTGGGGTTTGAACCCAGGACCTCCCAGATATATATACTGGGTGCTCTAAACCACTGAGCTATATGGTCCTAAGTTCAGGGTATTGGTTTCACAATCATATCAACCATGACAGATTGCCTATCCAACACACCCCCCCAATCTGGCATATCTTTAATCCAACGATAGTGCTGCTACCATGTTGAATTCGTGGGACCTCAACAGCCCAATGGGGAATGGCCCAAATAGGGGATACAGCCCAATGGGGAATATGTGGGTCCACACAAGAAAATGACCAGACTGGGGTTTGAACCCAGGACCTCCCGGATATATATACTGGGTGCTCTAAACCACTGAGCTATATGGTTCTAAGTTCAGGGTATTGGTTTCACAATCATATCAACCATGACAGATTGCCTATCCAACACAGTTTGGGTGGGGGTGTGTGATGAGGAGGATGATGCTGCTGACATTTTCTTGAGCTCTGCTTCTCTTTCTTTTTGCTTGGCCTCATACTGAGCCTGACAATAATCTTGTAGTAAGAGTAGTTGTTTGTCAGGTGATAAGTCATCCCAATTCATGAGGTGTACTCCTTCTCAGACTTAGAGAGGGGAGGGAGCACAAATTTTGAGTGAACTCCTTTGGGATACTGAGCCTGAGCTAGACAAGCCTTGGCTTTCCCTTTGGGAGCCATGATCTATTTCTGTGGGAGATGGGGGGTGAGATAGGATGGGGACAGGAGCAATTTCCTGGGCAAAGAGGATGAGGTCTTCGACTGTGAAGTTAGTTCCTGGAATGGTAGTGGTTCCAGGGTATTCAGCTTTGAGGAACTGGTGTATGCCTGGGAAGAAGACTAGGGCTTGAAAAAGGGTTTTGATGGTGGTACAGGGTGGTTCATCTACTTGGAACCCTTTGTACCAGACATCCTCAACAAGAGTTGCCAATGAAGCAGCAGAGAGGTGCCTGACTGTGTAGTCAGAGGAGTGAGATGTGGGGGTAGGTGAAGGAGGCTGAGATGCTGGCTCCTGGAGTACACAAAGCAATGCAGAGGCTTTGGGGGAAGATGATGGGGGTGTGAGAGCTTGTCTCCTCCTAAAGAGACAGTGAATGTAATGTTACCACAGGAACATTATGCATGATGTGTGCTTCACTAAGTTGCTCAAGCTGAGGTAATGGGATTTGTGACAGTCGGTTAGGACTGAGTCAGGTGATGCACAAGTGCCACACAGTCCCCTTGGACGTGCAGGAAATAGTGGGGATTCTGGGGTTCAAGTGCAAAGGCAAACCAAAGTTGTGCTCAAGCAAGAAGGGCAAGTGAAAAGTCATTCATGGAATGACAACAATGTGGTATTACACAAGAAGTCAAGTCTACCATACAAGCTAGGTAGCATCCAACTTATATACTAATACAGGGTGTTTGTCCATGACAAACACATGGAGCAATACTCAGGTTCTGAACAAAAGGGGAACAAAGCCATTGCCTTAACAAGAAAAGGTGGAGATTCTGTGGGGCCATATACAAGTCAGCTGAGCCTGGAGCACTGTGAACTTTGGATCACAAGGGAGAGGATGTAAAGATGTATCATGCAGAAAAGAGGTCATGGGAAACAGTCAGGTGCATGATGAGATATGGGCTTAACAAGGTAGGGTAGGGAAGTAAGAAGTAAAGAATGAAAGCATCTGAGAAGAAGAGAAATCATAACAGTGAAGGTGGGCACAGGTGTTTGCAAAGAAACAAGGCAGGGTGGAGATTGGGAAGGTGGTATTTAGATGTCAAGATACAACAACTGTGAAATGCTAAGTTGAAGATGTAGGGAGAGTTGGATCAAGCAAGACCAATACACACTGATATTTCACAGTGCACAAGGCTGCGGTGATAACCAAACACTCAGGAATGGGGTAGGGAGATGTGTGGAACTACAAGGCTGCCTGCTACAGTCTTCTCAACCTGTTGGCTGCCTCTCATGCCAAAGTGCTCTCAAGCTTTTCTGGTTGGTACATGTACAGCTGTTGCAGGTGAGGCCTGGCTGGCTTAAGGTCAACTTGCAGCTTATCTGGCATGGTGACCAGTTCTGCAAGCAGTGCCCAGAGCAGTCTACTGTGACCAGATAGACCCAATAAAGCCAAGCACAGTGTATACTGACTTTATGGATACTACAGCTGCACCACAAATGCACAGATTCTGCTTACAGACTTCCACAAAGGATGAGGTAGAATACACAAAGTGTTATGATCCGACACTTCAGACTTCCATTGTTCACTGTATGTTTTGTCCCTGTTTTACTTCTCTCCATTTGTCCTTTCCTTTGTTACAAAAGGGGCTATCAATGCTAGCCACTCTAGACTCCACTTCTACTCCCTGTCTTGACTTGTTTCGGCTCTTTACTATTGTGTGGACTTGTGTTCATGTTGTTTGGAACCTCATCCTATTTAAAGCTGTACTTTACACAGTAGGAAGCCAGACTTGGCTTCATTTGCAATCTAGCAACCTTGCCTTCACCTCTTTGGTGTGACTTCATCCTTCCTCTCTACTTGTGCATCCTCTACCTCTGTCCCTAACCCGGACATCATCAATGTCGCGGACGGACATTATGGATGGGCAAATACAGTAAAACGCAGTGGACTCTTACTATACGGTTGTGACTACGTTAGTAAGTAGGAATTAGTCACGGACTTAGTCACCACATGTCGTACTAGCATGTGATAGCTGGTATGACTCATTCCTAGTATAGTGGTAGTAGGGTTCGAGCTACTTACGCTAGAGGACAGTACTTCCAAGAGGAGCTTTAAAGCGACCTCTGTAATATGTATAAATAGTGGGACACGAAGACCAAGACATGCCATCTTGGTCTTCTTCGAAATACCACTCGTCTTCTACTCTTCTGAGGCCTTTGTGCTCTCGACTCTCTAAACTCGTTATTCCTGACCTTCGTGTCTAGGACGCTGGCACTCTCAAGTCGTCAACTCGGAGTGGCCTTGGTATTACTCAGGCAAATACTGTGGATCGCCTTGGTTTTATTCTACGGAGTCACCGAGACTCTGAAGGAGTCCCTTCAATTTGCTAAGTCGTGAACACCCTTGTACGAGTCCAAGTTGGACTAATGCAGTGGTAGCGTTACATTAAGACCAAGATCTCCCAATTGTGGTGTTCACCACAAGAGACCAGTGGAGAAATTTCCGACCCTACAACCTCAAAACCAGAGGAGAAAGATCAGTACCACGAAGATTCCTAGGAGCAGCCAGGTGGAGAGAATACAGAGGAGACACCGGGTACTTCGTCGACTTCCCTGGGGAAGCCATCAGATATTGACCAGTTGAGTTCAACTACTCCAACTTCTGCTGGACGGAGATTACGTGGAATCCTATAGACAATCGGTGGGACGTCGTCAGACCAGCCGGAAGACACTATTGTTGTGACATCAGTTCAAGAGAACTCCACAGAGACGACTGGGGATCACTAGATGGAGACAGTAGCAGCGAAGAAGAAGAACAACCCAGGGAGCAAGCGCCATCAGAGTCAAGTCATGAGGAACAAGTTGAAGAACACACCGCCATGGAAAGCGAGGTCCGACCAGGAACAGGAGACGATTCGAGTCTACTAGCACATATAGCTGAGTCCCTACACATCACAGTCCCTGAGGAGATTCACATATGAAGCCCGATGGCCACAGTAACTGAACAATGACCATGGAAGAAGCGAGACGCATCAGACACAAAGCAGAAGCCATCTTAAACCCTATCAACCCCAACACGGGGCATCGAATGACGGCAGACGACGCGGCACTTTTTCGAGCCATAGGACCTGACCAACCAGACCCCCCAGAAGGACCACCACCACCACCAGGTGGACTCCCGGGAGGGTTCCCCGGACAAGGACCAACCGGCGGAGGATTCCCAGGAGGAGGAAGGCCACCCGGAGGAGGCGGACCCCCAGGGGGAGGACCACCACCAGGGGCAGGACATGGTTTGGACAGACTATCAGGTGAACCTCCGACCGTATTCAATGGAGACCACACTAAATATGAGGCCTTTCTCACGCAATGGCACGTATACTGGGGAATGAACTTGGACGCCCCCATCATGCAAAACAAATATTGACAATCCCTCCTCTTTTTGGGATATGTGAAAGGGATTAACGTCAGTGAATGGACGCTGACCATACTAGAATGGCTGAACCGAGAAGTACGACGAGGAGTAAGCCAATACTCCCAGACCCTGTGGAACCACGTTGCGGCGGAATTCGCCAAAAGATTCTCAAACATACTCGAGGAGGAGCAAGCTCAAGCAGAGCTACAAAAGGGGGTCAAGATGACGGGAGAGGATATTGACGCATACGTGGTCCGATTTGAGCAACTAGCAAGAAAAGCTCATTATAACCTGAACGACCGACAAACCATTGACCGGTTCACCGCGGGGTTACCTCGAGCCCTGTTCATGAAAGTCTACGAGCTGGATGAACCACATACGTTTGAGGACTGGAAGAGGTGCACGCTGAGGAGGCAAAAGCAATACATACACATGAAAGCGCACCTCAACAACTTCAAGACAAAAGCACCACCCTCATCTGCCCAACCCTGATGGAGGCCACAACCCCAGAACTGGGGACCACCAAGAGGACCACTACCACCCCAATACGACCCAAATGCGATGGACACCTCAGCAGACAGAACTCGAGCCCGAGTAGCTGAGGTGGGAGACCCGAATCGACCCTTCATCCCCAGACCCCAGCGAGGAGGATACGGACGAGGAGGAGGACCGCCGCCTCGAGATATGAGGACAGTTATCTGTTATAATTGCAACAGGACGGGGCACTTCTCATGAAACTGTCCACAGCCTCGCTCCCGGCCAACGACTAGCCAGATGACAGAAACCGACTACTACACCCAAGAAGAACCACCAACCCAAGCAAGGGTAGCAGCCACGCTTCCACAGCAGAGGGCGAAAGACTGGCTGGCCGGAGTAGCAGGAGAAACAGATGATGTAAAAGACCTCATCCTTCAGGAAATGTGGGGAAAAGAGGGTTTTCAGAACGCCTGAACCCATCGGCCTGGGTGAGGGCGGTTAATTGTAACTCTGTAATCATGACTCGCTACCATTTGCTTCAAATTCCAGTATCGATTCGCACAAGTTATGCAATGGCCGACATCAAAGCTCTTGTAGACTTGGGAGCCACCGACAACTTCATACGACCCTCATTCACCAAGTGAATGGGTCTTGGCTTATAACAGCTAGAACGCCCCCGTAAAATATGGAACATAGATAATACAGAAAACAAGGTGGGCAGTATCACCCAATATATAGACCTCGAAGTCCAGGCTAACCAAAAACGTCAGAAGCTGCATTTCCTGGTCACCGACATTGGCAACGA